AATCCCATCCTCCATGCTCACCATAATTATGTGCTGTACGTTCTGCATGGCCACTGGTCCTCACTTGCTGGGGAGGGCCTTATAAGCCACTGGCACTTGTACGTGATCGGTTTCAGATGGGACCTAGTGTGGCTAACCCTCCGCGGGCACTCGCAGATGAAGTGAGTAAAGAGTAGGGGGAGGGATTAACCATGGAAAAGGCCTACTGTCAGGGATAGCAAAGGATTCTTCTGCAGTCAGCAAACAGCCAACATGTACTCAAAGCTCAGTGAAAAGTGACACTGCCAAGAAAAGAATACTTTATTAGCATCATCTCGTGAGTTGAAACCAAAATACGACAGAAGCCAGACAGGCACTGGGATTAATAGTGGATAGATATTATGCATCTTTTAGCCTATAGGGACCTGTAATTTCCAGGTTTAGCACCCCTGAAATCAATCAATCAATCAATCTATCTATCTATCTATCTATCTATCTATCTATCTATCTATCTATCTAAGTTCTTGGCTTAAAGTAAGTGTGGTGATATCTGATGAAAATATTCCTTCATTTGTTCTTTTTAGATGTTTTCAGATGTTCCACATGCATACTGTTCACCTATTCAGTTGCTTGTTAACATAAATGGTAAACTCTGAAATCATATGAAAGTGAAAGCCCTTTGGGAAACTCCTCCAACTCCCATTGTCATTGTGACACAGCACACACAAGTGAACACTGCACACCATGAAATTGCATTTATGCCTCACCCGTGCAAGGGGGCAGCCCTCAATGGCGCCCCAAGGGAGCAGTGTGGCGGGACGGTACCATGCTCAGGGTACCTCAGTCATGGAGGAGGATGGGGGAGAGCGCTGGTTAATTACTCCCCCCACCAACCTGGCGGGTCAGGAGTCAAACCGGTAACCTTTGGGATCCAAGTCTGACACCCTAACCCCTCACCCACGACTGCCCATGGCAGCAACACAGTGACTTTAGACATGGTAAAGGTCAGCTTGTTATAGCTCCACATAAGGGCATCAGAATAGATGCTCACTTTGATTTATAAATAAAGTTTTGAGGTCATTTAAATGTGGTATGGTTATCATTGCCAAATTGGCTGTTATGATTTTGTCAGAAAGTATGAATGATTTTTATGCACGAATATGTTTAAGTTTTACCATGAAACATCTTACAGAAAGAAAATGCTAATCCTGTCGCTATGTCTATATATTGATGTCTAAAATATACCCTTCATCTGATGGTTAAGCCAGCAGGATAATGCTTCATATCATAAAGCTTTTATAGTCTCAAAATCTTATTTTGAAAATGAGAATAAGCAAAATGTTCCTCCAATAGAGCTCAATCCTACAAACACATCTGAGATGTGGAGGAGTACTGGATTTCCACCCAAAATATTTACTGTAGTGGATATTTCTGAGCACAACCACAAAAATCTTAAATGTTTTAAACATATTTTAAATTTTCAGGGTGTTCAAATTGTACAAGCAAGGTGTTCCTATTGATATGATCTGTGAGTTACCATTTTTGTTCTGCTTTAAACATGATGCTGTCTGTCATTTTTGTTTTCTAAAACTTTTTTAAAAACCTAATAAAAAAATCTGATTCAATCATAATTCATGCAGCTGTTATTAAATCTGTTCCAAAGCAAAGTTATATCTTTAGGCCCGTTTAACCAAGGCCCTCATTTCCAACACTTTATTCAACTAATTTACACAAACTATTGCTGTTCTAAATATGATCTTTATATAAATTATTTTGTAATATCAGACACTTTTTTTCATATAATGCATGTAATAATATATTTTTTAAATTTTCCTACTGCCTAACAACACTATTTTATTACCATCATGTTTACAAACCAAAGCTACAGGATTAAAAAGCAGAAATTAATTTTACCTAAAAGCAATGAAGTGTGAGCTCTCATCCATCCCATCATGCACCCAGGTCAACCAGCATCACCCTTTAGCATCATTCAGGCACAGATGGGATTCAGGGTGTCTCATTTCCAGAAACATTAAATTATTTTTCAGAAGCCTTTTTAGTGCCAAAGCCCAGACGGGGAAAATATGGACATCTGTTCTAACTGTATGACATACCACTAATCTCAGGTGGTGCACACGCTAGCAACAAGCACTCACACACATATACACATAAACTGATGAAATATTGCATGTGCACATGTGCTCAAGCCACATCTGCTTCTAAAAATTACCACATGACACTTACTGTACCACTTAAGCCCCAAGGACTTCCCTGCATGCAAACACAGACTCTGGGCAAGTCAATCGTTTTTCAGATATAAACAACATTGCATGAATAGTAGGGTAGTTTTTTTAGCAGGCAGACATCACAAGGTAAAAGGTATATCTATTAAGTTTAGGTGATTAGTTCACTGTCAGTTAGAAACCATTTAGTTTATTCCAAAAAGTTTGTCTTTTCTATAAATTCTGAGGTACAAACAAAAATTAAAGTCTGGAGAAGAATCCACACCCTTTTGTATCAGGCTACGCAGGGAGGTGATGATGATTTACATGTGGTGCAATACAGTAGGAGACCAAAATGGAGCAAAAAAGCCAGTACCTGACCTGGGTTGATAGGCATCCAAAATGGATAAACTAAACCCTTGCAAATGTAACTTGGAAAATACAGTTGAAGATTTAAAGCTGCGATCACACATGCAAATAGAGACAGGTGCTTTTGTTTTGACAGAAACCTGGCTCAAAGGCAATCTTTCTGATGAAATAATCCTGCTGAATGTGCTAACAGACAATTAGACAGCTCCATTACATAACCTGAGCGTCCTGACTCTGCAGCTCCTCTTTGAACACAATAAGACTATAAAAAAGTAGTAAAGACATGACAAAAAAAAAATTGTACATGGAACCTTAATGGGTCAGTATCACAGTAACACAGAAGTTGTAAAGAATGGATGTTCAGTGTAATCTATTTTGTGTATTTTTTTTTTACAAAGTCATTTTACAAGTATCAAATGACAGGAATAACATCTTGTATCTAATAAAAGTAATCTACTTCACCTATAACGCTTGGTTATTGTAGGTTATGAATTCAAGTTGTGCTTTGTTTTAATTGTAGGCCTAATTTAAAGCAGAAACATTTTAAAGTAAAATATCCTGAATGATTATCATGATATAACCTTAACCTTTCCATAAAAGGATGTCACAAAAGCTCACATTTTATTTTTCCCTATAGCGCAGTGCCCATGAAAATACACACATTTATTTGCAAAGTCTAGACTTTCATGCCAACAGTGATCAAAGCCTGCTTATGCAAAAAATATTTTAATCAGACTGTTTGAACACTTTTTGAATGGCCTCTGTAAATTCAGTTTTCCACATAATCCAAGGGTTTATTTAAAATTTTTTGTGACATTCTTAAAACACTTCTATGAGACAAATCACTTAATAGCTACAATCTTCTCTTTGAAGTGATGAGACAGCTCCTTTAACTTTAACTTGGTGCACACCAAATCTAATGTTTTATGTTTAAACAGAGAAAACCATCATAATTATGTAATCAAATACATAATATCGATGTTCACCTGATGTTCTCAGTTCTAGCACCTAAATTGTGGAACATGCTCCCTGTTCATATAAGCAATTATTAAAAATGTTTAAATATAAATGAATCAAATTGTTTCCTTGTGTATCCCTTCCTAGAAATCGCACAGATATGATTAGTTCTACGTTTTTAAACTCTGATTTAAAAATAAAAACATTTTTACCAAGAGTTTTTTGCTGCATTAAAACCAATAATGTAGAACCATAAAGATGCATTGAGACAGACTTTACTCAGCAGAAAAAGTGTCCATTCCAGATCTTTAATACCAAGTCAGAATATACAGAATTTACTAGTGACAGCTAAATGCTATCTTTGTAGATTAAGGGATTAAGCAGCATTTCTCTTATTGAGTAAATCAGTGCATGTTAAGTAATCTAATCCTTGCAGTTTCCAGTCATGGATTTTACTTGATAAGGACCATGTGACTTTTTAGTATAGTGAGGAGCAGTTGTGTTAATGAAGATTCCTTAACCGTCATAGGTTGGAGTATAAAGTGAGTGTCTCAAGAGTGGTTCAGCTCAGATACCTACTTGTTGCACAGTTTAGAGGATGATATCTCTCAACACACACGCATTAAATGTGAAACAGATTATATACAGCAGTGGACAGCTGAAGATCACACTATATGCTTATACTACTGTAGAGGAAGTAGAGCTAAGCAACAATGTTGGTTTGTTGGTTTATTCGACTGCGATGGACCGGCGAACTGTCCAGGATGTAGCCTGTAGACAGCTGGAGATAGGTACCAGCACCCCTCGTGACCCCAGCTGAGATAAAGAATGATGAAAAATGGATGGATGGATGGATGGATGGATGGATGGATGGATGGATCGATGGTTTATTCGATTGGTACATTTTTTATTGCACACTTTGAACTCCTTAAAACTAATTATGTATCAGAGTAGAATAGAGTAGAATAGAAATATACCCTCATTGAGTAAATTCAATTATGATATCAATTAATCATAGTGATTTTATATATATAGCTATATATAAATAGATATAAAGCTATATATAATGCTTTTTTAGCCATATTGTCAGATTAAAAAAGCTATTAATAAGAGACATATCAGAGTCACATTGCACATGGGCACAACGACATGTGACAGGAGGAAGTTGGAATTCCACCCCAAACTTTTGGATATAATTTCAACAACTACTGACATTTTATATTTTTTTATATATAAAGCTGTAAGATATTTACAAACATACAACCCACCTGAGTGTTGCTGCTGACCATTTCCACCCCTTTATGACCATAGTTACCCATCAGGTTGTCAACAAAAGAACAGGATTTTTATCAAACCTCTGCTTCAGGGAAAAGGGGTTCCTAATTTAACCGGCCATGAGATGTAATTCTTGCTCCCTCATAAACCCTTGAACCATTAAAGTGAGTCAATTAAGATAAATATAAAACCACCCACCTTTAAAATAGACGTGGTTCTGCAGACTTCGGGTCTCAATTGGAAAGTTTGTCCGGAGGCATAGTCTGCGCGCACCGGATCTCCAGTCCAAAAGGCGCATCCAGCCCTGCCCGCGTCACCGGCCAATCACTTACTGGGACCAGATGTGAGTGATATAACCACATCATAATTACCTTGTATTGAAAGTGGCCAATTTCTTTACTTTGTAAAATACTCGGTTCTCTTTGTCCACAAACCAGTGTTATGCGCTTTTCACGAGAGAGTGAGAGAGAGAGATGTCTGAACATCTGTCTCATCAAAGCAGGCTACAGCTAAACGGCTCAGTGTGATCAGGATTCTGTGATTAGAATATTTTTTCACCCAAAGTATGATCCCTTCCTCAAACACTCAAAGCATTTATAATTAATATCCAGGGCTGTTTTGTTTTCCAAACATATTGGCGCTTCTGGTTCCATTTAGACTTTTAGACTTTAGACAGATTTTATTTTTAATATTTCTGTAGACATTATTTGACTCTGGTTTAGGGGTGATGTAGTTCACTGAGGACAATGAAATATAAACTAATGAAGACAATGAAATTACCATTAAGTATATTTTGTCGTTTCAAAGCTGAACAACAAAGCTATCACTGCATCTATTGTGTGCGTCTATTGGCACGCATGGTGTGGCCAAGTTTTATTTTGTGCTGGTACCAAAGCAACATAGACATCTCTGTTTTTGTTTTTCCTTATTTTACTTTTGCTCTATACCACAGTAATTCAAATGCAGCTTGTCAATTTGAAGAAGCAACTGTTGATTGATCCAGGCAGAAAATGCTATGAAAAAGTAAGGATATGTTTCCATCTACAGGCAGATGATGGTATTGCTGTTTATAGTATGGAATTGAAGACTTCCAACATCAAGTATATTTTTTAAAAAGTGTATTAGAGAGGGCTGAAACCTTTTAAATCCCTTTTCATCTTTAATCTGTAATATAACACCAACATTTCAATTAAATAATAGATTTCCTATAGGGGAAATGGACTAACTAACTTTCTTGGCAACAATTCCACTCGACAAATGCATTCAACCTATTTGAGAAGGGTTGGTTTAGTAAAGAACAGCTTGTTTTCACAGTATTCACCAGTCCTAAAAGTCAATGAGTCAAAAGCTCTTCTTCCTCCTCCTTTCACCTTTATTTCAATAATCTGAAATCCAAAGGGTGACAATAGTTCATCCTTAAAAAAAAAAAAAAGTATCACAAGAACTTTATAATGGCAAAGTCATGCATGTTTCAATGCTCTGTAATTTTAGTAGATAGTCTCAAGTTTAGTTTGACAGATTTGAGACAGGTCTGGGAACTTACTTAAGGACAAAATACATCAGTCTTTCTACTCCAGGATTTAGACCCATGAACAATACAGGAGATGCTCTGAAATGCAGAAGACAGTTGTGCTTGCCAGAACTTTCTACAGCTCCTTCAGTATTGCTTTTTGCCCCTTGGCAACTTCACAGATCATTATCTGTCAACTTCACATTATCTGTCTTGTTTCAAACTGTGGAGAAACATAATTTTTTGGGATGCTACTGCTGCAGAAGTCTTCCACTTTTTGTTGATGGTGACGTCTTCACTGAGCTGTAATGTAAAAACAGTTTAAAGCAATGTTTTAGTAACCCATACAACTGTGTGACAATAACTACAGTCATGGTGTAAACATTCTAATGTGTTTCATCTTGGCTTATTTTTCAATATAAAAGTAATTTTTAAATGTATCAACTTTTTAGCACATGTAAAGAATGACTCATTGTTAGGTAAAACACAAGGCAAGACCAGTTAATGTTCATAGCAATATTCACTAAAAAATAGTGTTGCACGTGAACTAGACATGGTGTCATGATCTTGCATTCTGAACTTTTAGATTCTGTGTAAGTTTTCATTTTGGATTCTCAGTTATGCTTCATTTTATGTTATCTTTTTTGAACTCTTAATTTTACTCTTCCTTGTTGTCTCTTTTCATCATTTTTGCTATTATTTATTCCTTGGTCTATTTTTAGTTAGTTGTTCTTTCTCTTAATTTTAGATTATGTTTTCCATGGCTTCAGTTATTTTCAGTCCCTTTTCTTGTCCTCTAATTTTCCCTTTGGTTATTTTTTATTTTTTATTCATTAGTTTTATTCCCCTTTAGACTTATGTAAGTTATTTTCTAGTTACAGTTGAAGCCTTGTTTTCCCTGGTTACTGTTTCCTCAAGTGCCCCATTTCTTTCCCCTTGGCTCCTTTCTAGTTGCTTCTGTCCACACCTGCTCCCATTGTTCTGTCTACCTTGTATACTCCTCCTCTGCAGTTCCTCAGTGCTGGATTCTCTTAATTTCTTCTTGTATGTTTCTCCTGAGCCTGCAGCCTGTTATTGCAGGATTGATGTTTTAGTACCATCTACTTCACCATTAAAACTCTAAGAACCATCTCTGCCTTCCCTACTCTGCCTTTGGGTCAACAACAGAAATCACCAACCCTGACAAATGGGGGAAAGAATGCATTTCAGTATTGAAAATATCTGGTTTTGGGCCTGATTTAATATTTCAACATAAATTCCATAATTATAATCTATATAATTTAGTTTTAGTTTTAAAAATGTGTGAAATTTTTTTTTTAAATAAAAATAGGTATCCTGTGTTGGGTTCCTACTCCAGGACAGCTTGTATTGCCAGAATGATATTTATTTTCCCAAAATAATGGGAGACACTTTTTTTTTTCCTTTTTTTTTTTTTTTTTTGCTCCCTGGGGCTGTAAATATGCATACGGAAATTCTTCATCTAAAAGACCCAATTATGTTCAAGCCTGAACTTCTTGGTGAATGTCCTGAGATGATGCAAAAATATCTGCACGTGTTACTGTTATTTTCAGTCTGTTTTGTGCACCAGTCTCTCCTGCAGAAAACCTCTTAAACAAAATTAAACTGCCTCTGTGCTAATACCAGGCAGCTTGGCTAGGGTTCTTAAACTGGAAAGGTTTTTGTTTGTCTTTATAACCTTTCAATATATTGAATGACTTTATTAATGAAAATTTGTCAGATTTTTTAATGTGTGTGACATTCTGATCCATCTTTTTTAAGTATTCTAAATACTTTATTTACAGATTAGATATATTTGACTAACATACTGTAACCTGCCTTATACCTAAAAAAAAAGAAATAATATAATAATCAACTGCTCGCAAACATCAATGAAATTCTGAAAGTCTATAAGAGATATTTACTGAGTAATTCTTTTTTCCAGGACACTCTGGTTGCACATCCCAGCAGTCCTGCTTTCCTTCTCCCACTCATTTTGTCCCAGTGAATTTTCTGTCTGGAGAGCTGTTCTGCTATAACAATCTGTTAAGGTTATATTTCCCTAACTTAGTGACACGCATAGGACAAATAGAGAAGGTAAAGACAAGAAAAATCATCAAAGAGAAAACAAATGAGCAAAATACCTGCTTTTCTATAGTTTTATTTTAGACTTTTTTTTCAGCTAAAATTTCTCATTAAGATAGACTGATTTAAAAAAATCATGTCAAACTTATCAGTCTAATAAATCTAGTCACTCACATTGTTATATCTAGTTGATCCATGAACAGGACAATAGTAGATAAAAATAGCAGCATATTTTTATTACTTCTTCAATGGGGGCTGTGAGACGACATCTTTATTTTATATTAGCTGACAGGGAAACACACCTCCAGATATCATCATATTCTAACCATCAAGCAATTTTAAGCAATTTTAATCTAATGATCTAAAAACAGACAACCCTAGAGAGAGGGAGACAGAGAAACTGAAAACCAGAAGGGATTGTGGAGCGTGGTTTTAGAGATTATGAATTATTTATGTGAGTGGGATATTTTAAGGCCATCATATTATGTCTGGGAGCAATGAGTTAGTGGGAGGTGCAGAGAGGAGAGAATGAAGTGGATATCATTGGCTTTGTTTTTACTGTGGTTACTACTATTGCACTTTGCAAACCCCTCAGTGACACATACTCACTTATAAACTCTTGATTTCCAGGCCCACATATAAAATAACAAAAGGCCAATGAAAGAAACATAAACGGTGCATGGTATTGATCAGCATATACAATCCAGTCTCTTTTCTCCATTGGTCAAGAAAAATTCTGCTATTTTTCATTTGGTTAAGAAGTAATTTCTATTGCATGTGAATATGCTCTGCACACATTCTAATTCTACTACAACCAACCCTCTTTGTCTGTGTTTGGCAGATTGTCAGGTTTACAATTTATTTTTATTTTTTATGTGGCTCCAAGCCATAATCATGATTTTTTTTTATATATCTGAAATTTAAAAGTCGAGATCTATTTTAGATATGTAAGTTCAGAAATAAATATTAATCAATGAATAATAAATAAATTATTTACTCAAAAAACAGACTGAATTTGTATATGTGCAGTGATATCCATTTAGATTGTCCACTAGGGGGCAAACATGAACGTTGAGAGCACAAGTAGCTCTACAACTAAACGTTGCTCTCTTATATTTGGTGTTTTGTCAAATAACTCATGAATTAAACTTTATAAATATGCAAGTCAATATTATTATATTTTCACATGAAAGAGTGTTTCTTTTTTTTGTATTTATGAAAAGCAGGTGGTTCTTGAATGTGATCTTCTTAACTATGTATCCTTATTTCGTATTTATGGGAGTTTTTCTTTATATTTTGTATACATATGTGTGTTTCTCTAACCCATGGGTATATTTGGCTCACATTATGTTGCTACAGGAGTCAAGCTAAAGATAAACTGAGTGAATCATTGGCTGTGCAAATTATGGCAACCACAACACAGGCTTAAATTGGAGGCAACCAGACTTTTCCCCAGCTTTTCTGAAAATGTTTTGACACTTTTGTGTAGGTGTCGACATTTTTTCAGAAAAACTGAGCAGGTCTGGTTGCCTCCGATTTAAGCTTGTTTTGTGATTGAGAGCATCACTGCTAAATATACTAAGAAGAAATTGTTTTTTTAATAATTGAGAAGTGAAGATTACCCTATTCTGCAAAGTTACTGAAATATGCTGCATATTGATAGATCTTCATGTTAACATGGCATAAAATGCAAGTATGAACAACTATAACAACAATAACATATGAAATGTCCTCACACACATACTCGTTATGCCATTGTAGTGAGGACCATGTGTTGACTCCCAGTGACTTCCCTTGATTTTCAGTCATTTTCAACCCTTTCTATGCCTTAACCCTAAACCTAACCATTACCAATGCATACCTC